GGAAAAATACTTCTAACGTGGCATTGAATTTCGAGAGGCAAAAAATGATATCGACTCTAACACTGAGAAGATGGTTAGTATAAGATTTGGCCTCAAAGGATGTAAAAAAAGTGAAGAAAAAAAAACATTTATTTCATAGGTTCATATAATTAAAAAGAGACTTTGTTTTGCAAAAATTTATGAAAATTGGATATGAGGATTGGGCCAAATTGTCTGGTCCGATTTTCTTCGAACTAGCACAGTCTTTAAATGTTGAAACTAATTTATGGAGCAAAAGTAATTTTATATACGCCTATATAATACTATATTTTATAAAAGAATAAAAATTAAAAAAATTTTATTTTTATCAAAGTTTTTTGGAACGCCTGAAGTTATTTATGTTCGTCGAAGATTGGGGAAATATGATGCTCAAATATTGAAATATAAACTGAAAAGATTTGGAAAGGAAAGGTAATGTTTTTATTGCTGCATGCCGTCTTCCTGGACAGGAATGTTATTCACATGTGAGGAAAGAAAAAATTTTAACACACTTTATAACTCATACTAGCAACCTTCATCAGAGAAAAGGTTCAACAATAACATATCAGATGAAGTAATCTTCCAACAAGACAATATTTTTGTCACACATCCAGAGTTTTGGAAGTGTTGGTTTAAAAAGAATTTGAAGATAATAAAGTATACCGCATCGCCTCAATGTTGGCCTGAATCCCATTGAACATCTGTGTTCATACTTATATTAACAAAAATATGAGGATGCACAAATATTCTTCAAGATGGTAATAGAATTAAAACTTCATGAAGAATGGCAGAAAATCGAACCAACTATCATGATAAAAAAATGCAAAAAGCAAATAAAGGCAATTATGAAATAACAAAAGAGCTTACACTAAATATTAAATATAGGTTATTTTTACTTTAAAAGCGTAGGTTATTTTTTTGTTTAAATGATAAAAAAATAAATGAGTTTCAATTATATGTATTTATACAAAAAATATATCCCCTTATAATTATAAAAAAGGCTGTATAAAAAAATCACATTTTTTCGGTTGCTGGTCGATATTTTGTAGTGGCGTGTTTCGTTATTTATCAATATACCTTTTTGCTCCACATTTTGTAAAACAATCCATTATTCATCGCTGCAATGTTCTTTTAGATTTGATTATCATCATAGAGTGTGAGTCTGCTGGAATTTGTTTCAGTCCTTCACGGTATAATTATTTTTGATCCGAACCTAGTGAATCACTTCCGAACCTAGTATTCCATTTGCACATTCTCCGTAAATGGTTCCTTTTTTTTTTTTCTGTTTCGCAGTTTGTTTGTTTTGGTTTTTGTTTTTCTAATGAAAAATTCTCAAATGACGAAAATACAGATCATATTTTTATTTTTTTCCCTTTAACATAAAAAAAAAAAATAAAATTTAAATCAAACACGAATTATATATAAAAGACTACTGGTATTTTTAATTTTAATATGTATATATTTGAAATAAATAATAGTCACGCGTGGAACGAAATAACATGTTCAAAAAACAGGAAGCTTTGTTCCAAGCTAAATTTTGAACAAAATATAACTGTTGTTTACGTTTTTGATGAATCAAACATTTTTTGATATGCGTTGAAATTTAACATTTTCAATAAAAAAATTTTATTTTATTAAATAAATTAATATAAGTTCACCATTTATTTAACTGGTTTTAGAATTTGGTTTGGCGAATTCTTGTGATATTTCTGTTCCAGAAGAAAATATTTTAAACAGTCGAACCTTTGTTTTCAAACATTTGCATAATCCGTTCAGAAACATCGGTTTGAAAACCGAATTTAAAGAAAACGAAAAAATAAAAAAAGAAAAATTTGAAGTAAAAAGAATTTGAAAGAAAATAAAGTGAAGAAAAGGACGTGAAGAAGAGGAAGTGATCAATTAAAAAGTGAAGAAAAGAAAAGCTCCTAAGAGTGAAAATGAAGACGAGAATATTTTAAATTAAAAGAGAAAGTGAAGAAGAGGAAGTGAAGCAAAAAGAAATTGAAGAAGAAAGTAAAGAAAATTATTAAGCGGGTTAAAAAAAAAAAAAAGGCGAGAATTAAATTTAGGTGATAAGAAGCTATCACGAAAAAACACACTGAGCGATGTTATTTTTTTTTAAAAAAGAAAAGTGGTAAGATTTTATTTTCATTTGCGAAAAAAAAAGCGAAGATAAGAAAGTAAGATCCGGATTTCGATTTAATTTATGTTACGACGCGGCGAATAAAAGATAGCAATCTGCCCATGGCAATAATGAAAATTTCAAATTGGTCAAGTGGCCTACAAAACAGAATGCTGGAGAGATAAAATTAATCAGGTCGAATGCTCTGACCGAAAAAAATGTCCGCTGAGACCACCCAAAGAAAAAGGAAGGAAAAGAAAAGGAAAGATTAAACCATTAACTATCTTCGGAGATATCATTTGGTTTTGAAAAGAAAACACCTGTTTTATGTCCAGACCTGGACATGATAAAAGTTATTTTATCGGAACAGATAATTGTAGCGACAGGGTGCAAAAGACGTCAGTTGACCACCCATTTGATTATTTGACGAAAATCTCGTTGATGAATTCCAGATGACATTCGGTTAAGATAGAGATTAAGGACCACACTACGAGTCGTAGGAAAAGAATGGAAAAGAAAGAAAAAAAAAAAAAGAAGATATTTTTTTTTCTTTGAGCGATAATTTTAAACTGAGGCCAGTCTAGCCACACCCACGCTGCTGAGCGTTCATTGGCTGAATGGTGGCGTGAGCGGCAGGCGAAGGTAATCATATGAAAAGGAGGGAGGCCTGTTGACGCCCCCTGAGGGATTGGTGTGAGATACCACTGTGAGAGAGAAGGGAAACCTGTTGACGCCCTCTGAGGGTATGGGTGAGATACCAATATGAGAAAGGAAGAATTTGGGAGGACGATTCCCGAAAGAACCCCTCTCCAAAAATGGAAAAATGGAAAATAAATTTTCCTGTCCGAAAACAAAGAAAAATCCTTATTGTGGATTTAGAATTATCAAGGAACCTCAAACCCCGACAGGCCCACCCCGGTTTTGGTCGGCGTCCATATAAACAGAGTCGCACAGTGCAACGAGTAAGAAGCAGTTGCAGTGAAGTTCGCAGTTCGCAGACGCAGTTGCAGAGTTGAGCTGTGAGCTCTGAGACCAGCCTCGCAGGAAAGCTGACTGAAAGATTCCACGCATTCCGACCTCAACTTCTAACCAAAAACAATTTATTTTTGAAGAACGACTTAGACTCACACCACCAAAACAAGTTTTTTACGAATATCGCCTGAAGATACAAAAAAAAACCAGTTTCTTAAAAAAAAAACAACTTAAGATGTTAAGACTCGCCTAACAAACACAAAGTGTCACGAATCCATATAGCGGTTTGGGAGAAAGATGCAGTCCTGTATTCAGCAACCAGATATAAAAATATTGTTATTTTTTTTAACACATTTGAACTTTTCGAGTTGTTACTTTATTTTTTTTTTACATATACTTGTGCGGATATTACCTTTGTTCGAACTCGACTTGCATTACGGCCCGGCGACTGATTGATTTCGTCTACCTAAGATCAAATCACAACGTGGGTAGGTTAGACTAGAAATCAAAGCAGTTACTTCGGTAACCAGACGTTGGAGGCGAGCTGGGAACGACAAAGGCTGATACCGAATCTAACCAGATTCCCATCCGAATCAGCAAAAGGGTTAGAACGTCACATTTGGTGCCGCGACCAATACCAAGTCACATTGGTCGTCACGTTTGATCTTGTCTTTTCTAATACGTAGTTCGCTTCATGGGCGTTTTCGTTGACGATACTATAATTTATTTCTTTTTTGAGTTTCTTTTTTTTAGTATAGTTCAACCAAGACAATGCTTAAGGGACATTCAGGATAGGTCGTTTCTGAATAGGGATGTAATGGTTTATAGGGGGCAAGCGTTTCATATCACTAGGTTATGTAGGATAGATAACGGTTAATCCTTAATTCGAAGAGGTTATGTTTGTAGTGACGATGAAAACCAACCCTCGAGTGTTTATTCAACAGTGTAGCCGTTCCAGGGAAGAAGCTGTCCGAATTGAACATATTCCTAACCAATGGAATCTACCATCAAATCAGCGCCATCTCCATGTCCATGAGATGGGATTTGAAGACAAACATCTATCAAATACTTTCTATAATCCCAAGTTGAATCACAGATTTCTTCATCTTTTTAGTTAACTTATTTGGGTACTTGAAACATTTCCGAATGTGCGTTTTTTTTTTTTTTATTAAATTGGGTGCGATAAAAAAAATCAATAACAAAAAACGAGCGCTTGATACGATTTAATAAAAAGATTGATTTGTTTTATTTTCTTACGGTTCATCAACATTTTGTGGAATATTTAAAGGCGGATATTATTTTGGATTTTAAGAATAATTTTGTTTTTGCGAGTTAATATTGAAGGGAAAACATTTTTTTTTAATTCAGAATAACGACTATTTTTCTAGTTTCAATTTATATTGTTTATTTCATAGTTGGACAAACGAGATAGCTTCATACCTTTCCCAAGGATATTTGCTCATAATTGAATCTAAAGAACCTGACTGGAATACAAACTAAGTTATTCTACGATTTGAAGTTCTGTGCCACTATCCATTATATCATCCGAATATCCACTTCAATAATTAATGAGGAGAAAAATAGAAAAAGAAGGATGTTGGCATCATATTTGTTTAGAAAATTAATAATAGCTGATGATATTTTATAACTCTTTTAAGAACATTTATCAATGACAAAAAAATCAAATGACTTAGGCTTTGTGCTTCTATTTCTAATAAACCTTTTAATTTCTCCAGGTTAGGAAGCCGAGTAATCGAGCTGATAACAGAAAAACTAACAAATGATTTTTTGGTGACCATTTCGCTGGAAAATAATAATTTAACTTCAATTTAAGTATTTTTTTCAAAATACATATCAGTTTTGTAATACAATTTGTTTTTTTTTCTTCATGTATTTTTTCTTTTTCTTCTTTTTTTTTCTTTTTTTCTTTTTTCGTCCTATTTTTCTCCTTTTTTTTTTTCTTCATCTTCTTTTCGTTATTTCTTTTCTTTTGCTTCTTCTTTTTTTCTTCTTCTTCGTCGTCGTCGTCTTCTTTTTCCGTCTTCCTCTTCTTTTTTGCCGTGTTCTTCTCCTCCTGACCTCCTCCTTCTTCTTCTTCTTCTTCTTCTACTTCTTCTTCTTCTTTGTTTTCTTATTTTTTTTTTTTTCTTCTTCTTCTTTTTTTTTTTTTCTTCTTCTTTCTTTTTTTCTTCTTCTTTTTTTTTTCTTCTTCTTCGTCGTCGTCGTCGTCTTCTTTTTTCTTCTTCTTTCCCTTTTCTTCGTCTTCTTCTTCTTCTTCTTCTTCTTCTCGTATATGTCGTATCTCTTTAGGATATGTGCAGCAATGGCTCAACACAATCTTCTATCCTTTCTAGCTGTTCGTTTTAATATATGCTTTTTCCCTAGCTTTCTTAGTAAGGTTCTCTCATCAAATTTACACAAGCTAGTCATGTAAGGTTACTAATAGATTTAATTTCCGACTTGCCTTCAGTATATCCTGTGAGTATCAAATTCTCCAAGTGATCTTTCCTCATTATGTGTCTTTTATATGATCAATATATCATGTACATTGTGCTTATATTTAGCAGTATAACAATTATTACTAATAAACTGGGATAACAAACAAAAAAAAACATTTTCTTATAATTAAATCTGAAAACTATAGAATCTTATTTCATAAATAATATTTTCTGTATACATGTATAAAGGATCTAAATTTAATATTACTTGGTAGTGTTTTTATTATTTTTATTGCTACCCAGATATCTATATTGCTTGAAGATTTTGCTTCATGATTTATAAAAATAAAAAAATTATAAGTTATAAATTTGTTACTGATTAATGTCTATGTAGTCAAGAAGTCCATTCCATTATTTCAGTACTTTTGAAAATGATTGCGATAAATTGGGTAATTATCAAGATTAATTTACCTGTTTAAGTAACACACAGCAATAAAGGTTCGATTACCTTCTAGTATGTCGGTTATTAATTTCTCTATTTAAGAAAAAACAAACAGGAATAGCAAATCAAGCGCGGGTACCTGCTAAATAACGTTTATAGTAGATTTGAAAAAATTTTGAATTTTAAAAAATTTTTAAATATATATATATATATATATATATATATATATATATATATATATATATATATATATATTTAAATAATTTTAAATTTTATATATATATATATATATATATATATATATATATATATATATATATATATATATATATATGTATATATGTATATATATATATATATATATATATATATATATATATATATATGTATGTATGTATATATATATATATATGTATGTGTGTGTGCGTTTGTATGTAACGAGAACGAGGGAAAGAAATATTTATTTTCGTCAAATATGAGCATTTTCATATCCGTGATATAACAACACCGTAGTTCAGGGATAGGATGGACTAGCTGAATGAAAAAAGAATAATAGACATGATTGTTTATGGAAAAGTTTATAATGCTACCAAACAGGAAAATTATATATATATATATATATATATATATATATATATATATATATATATATAATATATAATACAAAAAGACTCAAAACACTAATATTCCATGGTTATAATTTATCATATTGGAATCGTAATCAATAATATCAGATTAACTTCTGTATTTAAAACATGAGAACACTTATGTAGCGATGGAATCATATTATTAAATTCATAATGCCTTATTGGTGATGAGTCCTAAAAATAGGACGTAACATCGGTTCAGTGCATTTCTACCTTTCCTGGGGAATCCAGGTATCGAACTAAACATGTCATTAGTGCCCAAGCACTCCTTTTCTTCTCTTGAATCAGCAGCTAATTGTGCAGGTCTTCACCTAAATGAAACCAAAACTGAGTGTATGCCAATTTTTTCGCAACAATCATGAGATCAAAACAGTCTCAGACAACATCCTCAAATGTGTCGAAGACTACAACTATCTAGGATCACACATCAAGAACTCTGAGAAAGATTTCAACATTAGAAAAGGCATGGCATGGACTACTTGTAACAAAATGGATAAGATCTGGAAATCCAATCTTGCTTGTCAATTCAAAATCCAACTTTTCCGCGTACTTATTGAACCAATCTTACTCTATGGCTCAGAAACTTGGACACTCTCAGCAAAACAACAGCGTCGTTTAGATGGATGTTATACGACTTTTTAAGAAGAGGGCTTAATCTTTCATGGCGAAACCGCCCAACTCTAGAAATGTTATATGGAGACTTGGAGAGTATCAACCTTAGTTTGCAAGAGACGTATCCAGTTCGCCGGGCATTGTGCACGTGCTACAGATGAACTTGTGTCATCATTTGTACTCTGGAGGCACCCATCATCTGACAATCGATCACGCAAGTTAACCTTTCCAGATAGGATAAAACGAGACACATTGATCCCTAAGGAAGATCTTTTTAGGAGCTATGACGGATAGGGAATACTGGAGAGGTGTAGTGAGTTCAATCTCGGCTGAGGCCGCAAGATGATGATGAGACATGATGAATTATTATGACAAAAAAAATTATTCAAATCCTCAAACTTGCTATTCAGTTATATATAGGAAACTCCAAACATCTTCATTGTCACCCAGTTTTCAATGACGGAAACCACTGCACTTCTCGAGCTACTTTTAAGTTCTATCTCGGACACATGTCGTACCATAAACAGCTCTGCCGTTTCCAAATTTCTGTTCATTGGTAGTATCACAAACACTTTCTACAGATCCCCTACCAGTGAAGAACCTTCAAACAAGAGAATATCTTCGATATCAAGGAGCGGAGTGGGAATCATTCCGTCACTTCCTTCGTGACGTCATTGCAATTATCCTGTGAAGAAATGCGAGTCTAATGTCTCCTCCTGGGTAAAAGCCGGCATCGATACCATTCATCCCAGCGAGGAAATACCATTCATCTCCTTAGTTCTCACCTGCATGCGCACGCGCTATAGCCAACACTAGTAACTTCTTCCGGTTGTGTTCGTGGGTTATGTCTGATTACAACAGATATCTCTTTCCCTCTGCTCGTAACGAGTGCAAGCCTGTCCTCAAAGTAGCGAAGTTACTGTTTGCTGATAAAAGGAAACAACGTATAATATCTCGTAAGTTCGATTCTCGGGATTATTCGCAGCTCTGCAAGAATGTGCTCAACAACAGCAAATCGTCAATCCCTCCTCTATTCAATCAATTCGAAGTCCTGACATCTACAGCAGACAAGATTAAATGCTTTGAACAAACCGAAAAATTCTTCATCAACTCAAAAAACGACTCATTTCAGGAAAGTTGCCCACACCTGAAGAGTCTCCGAGACCTGAGATTCTATTGAATGATATGCGCATAAACTCGTCAAGTTGTTGATGACTTCTAATTTTCAGGCATTTATGCTGATGACATTACCATTTATCCCTGTCTCAATCCAGGTCCGACAATGTTGACCTTGCCGCTGCTCTTGAAAAGGATCTCCAATCAGTGGTGAACAGCGGCTCGTAAATTGTAATGCTTCCAAAAAGAAACTGCACTCTTTAACCATCATAGAGAAAAGATTATGCCCAACATCTGCATGGCTGACGCTAGACTCATGGAGAGCAACATGTGGCCTCACGTTTTCAATTGACTTGAAGTGGAACAACGACATCGAATCAATAGCTGCATCTAATGTAAGGAAAGCTGGGTAACTGCCCAGAAGGTTTTTCTGGTTTGTAAATCTAACTTTTTCTGTGCATTAAATTATGTTGCCATATATGGTCAAGTGCTCCTGCTACACTTCTCTAGATTCTTGACAAAAAGAAGGATCTGTAATCTAATCGATCCTGACTTGGCATCTCGACTTCAGTCACTTTCTCACCGACGTGACATGGCTTCCTTCTGTCTTTCCTAAAAATATTTTCATGGCATTAAAAATAAATCAGCTTTTTTTTCCCTTCAAATTGGGTATTTTTGGGTTTACTGATGTTTTAGATTGTCATCTACGTCCCACGTTTTTCTATTAAATGTAACCGCCTGTTCGACTCTAACTGTTTCTTTTCTAGCACTTGCCGACAATGGAACTCACTTCATTTACTTTGCTTCCCTGATTATTATTTAAACGCATGAAAATTATATATAAAACTATGTTACTGAATAATGTATCAGCTTTTTATTGAATTTCTCTGCCACCCTTGCACAGTTTTTTCAATATACCTTCCATTCTGTTTTTAACCCCCCATGAATACTAGTGGCATTTCCGCATTGCTAGGATTTAAAAGATCGTTATATATATATTATATATATAGTCATCTATACACTTTATATATATATATATATATATATATATATATATATACATCTATATAGATTTGATATATCTATATAATGAGTTATAGAATATATATAGTAAACGGATATTATATATATATATATATAATTATATATGTTCAATTATATATATATATACATAATTAGATATACAACATTTGTGGTGTGTGATTAAATATATATATATATATATATATAGTTAGATATACAACGTGTGTGTGTTTATATATATATATATAATAGTTAGATACAATTATATAGATACAATAACGTGTGTGTGGGTTCATATATATATATATATAAATACACAGCAAATATAGATAGATAAAAACATGTGAATATATATCAAAGATATATATATATATATATATACAATGTATGTGTGTCCATGTGTATATATATATATATAGATATATAAATATATATATTTATCATTTTTTTAGAAAGAAATATTCACAGTATTGTTTCATGTTATATTTTTTCCGCCATTTCTCTTAAAATTATTGAGTTTCAAAAACATTCAATATGGAAGATTGGTTTGTATAGAATATATATTAAAATTTAGTCTTTATTAATTATTTTTTTAAAAACAAAATCACGACTTGCGATGTAATGACAACCATAAGTTATGCACATCTTTTTGTTTACTAAAATCTAGGCCGTTTTCATTCAAGACGTAGACGGTCATAGCTCTCCACAAATTTCGTTCATTTGTAGCTCATAATAAATGTATTTTTGTTAGAACTACTAAAGCTTGTCACATCATCGATTTACTGAAGCACGCGTAGTATGTTTTGCATTCTCTTCCTCTGTTCCTCTTACCGTTAATCTCTTCTGTGAGTATCACATATTTCATTCCTATTCTCATTATTATGTACCTGAGAAATTTCAACTGCTTCTTCTTGATGATAAGTATAAGGTTCCTCTTTCTTTTCATTTTCTCTAAAGGTTCCTCCTTGCTCATATATTCTGTTCATAGTTTTCTCACCATCATTCTGTAGA